AGCTTATTTGTCTTCTTTCTACGCGTATGGAAGCGAAAAGACGGTGTTGTGTTATTTTGGTCTCATTACACACACTTTGCGATTTCTGGGTCAATGTGCATTAACACCAAAGAACACGAAATAAGCAAAATCCAAGATTCTTCTTTCTATGTTGCTGCAACCCAAAACAACCTGTTTGGCTTTGTTTAGGCTTATTACACTTTGCTTTGCTATTTGTGGGGGACTGAACACCGAAAGAACAATGCAAGCTTATTCGTCCTCTTTCTATTGAGATGGAACCTAAAGACCTTTTTACTTTGGTTGGGGGTGATTCTGGTGCACACCCATAAAACCCCATGCGAATTGAAATAAGCACAAAGCCTGCCCAGGAGGTGGGGTTGCGGGTTTCACGCCCACCCCCCACGTGAGCGGGGGCTGGTTTCAGCCCCCGCGAGAGCAGGGGGCTCACCCTCTTTTCGCCAGCTATCCCCCACTTTTGTTTCCCGCATATCAGCTCTTCCTGTTTGTCAGAGATCTTATCTGCGTTGCCTGGAGCTTTCCTGCCTTGCTTCTTTGTTGCCTTTGTTCTTGAGCTGCAGGGCACCTCGTGGAATTTGCTGTAGCTTCACAGAAAAAGCTCTCTTTCTTTTACAGAGAATTTCCAGCATTCGCTGCTGGTGTTGCTTGATTTCTAAACTGCTTGATGTTCAGGAGTTGTTATCTCTAGTTTTGGAGCTGAAACCAATTTGGGGCTTTTTTCCTTCTGGGGGTTTCCCCCTTTTGCGCTCCATTCCAGCTGCTGCAGTTTAACACCGGAGCTGTAATTGAGCTAAAATCACTGTGTGTGTGTTTGTGTGCTTTCCTTCCAGCATCTCTTTCACATCTACAGTTTTACAGGGAGCTCTGTGTGTTTCGGTGCAAGTTCCCTGCCCTCAGGAGCTTGCCGTGCCTGCTGCTGCATGCCCCCTTCAGAGGAATTTATCCAGCTTTGTGGAGCTTTTTCTGCTGATCCGTTGCTTGCCCTTGGCTGCTGACTGCCTGTTCTGCAAGGAGCTCAAGGAAGAACGTTTGGCTCCTCTTCGTTATTTCCACGGAGGACGCAGTGCACCCATCCTATCAGGTTTTGCTGTTGGGGCTTCAGGTTTTAGCTAGGGGTTTGTGCAGGGGAGCGTGGTGCAATTAGGCGGAACGGCAGCTGCGGGAGGAGAGCGGGCTGCGTTTTGTGCCAGTTGTGTTTCATTTTCTTGCCAGGGTGAGGGGCAGAATTTATTGTTAAATAATCATTTCAGCAGCATTCTTGAGGGGGTGAGTGGCTTCCACAGAGCATCACTTCCTCTACAGGCTGTTTTATTTTCGCACGGAAGTTTAGACTTGGAAAGCCTCGGAAGCAGCTGCGCTGTTGCCGGGCAACCAGCGCGCCCCGGCCGCCATTTCATCCGCCCACGTGCCCTTCCGGGCGGCCGCCATTTTACTATAGGCATTCCACGTGGGAAGTAACTTTACAAACCCTCCCTTTTAAGCTTAACCGGTGAGAAAACCAGGGGAATAATTAACGTTCATAAGGGGTACGTGGGGAATGCCTGCAGGTTTTGCTCTTGAGGCTGCGGAATTTTTTCAGTGTTAAAGGGCTAGCGTTAAGTGTTCATTGTCGCTAGGCAACAGGAACGCATTACGGCCGCCATTTTGATTGCCCACGTGGCCTTGTGGCGGCAGCCATTTTAGGAGAGGCAAAACCACGTGGGAGCTATCTCCTTTTCGAGTGCCCCTCACTTTCTCGTTGGTTTTAAATTCAAAAGCAATATAAACAAAGGAAATAAACATAAGCAATATAAACAAAGGATGATGGTGCAATTAAAAGAGCCTAGCTTAAATAAGAGCGCACAAGGGGCTGCAGGGAGCCCCTCCTCTTGGTGCATAAGCTTGTATAGAGCTGGCTACAGCGTCTCTGGCTAGGCTGATCTTCGAATTGATATCCTCTAATTAATTTGACTGCTTTTGTTTATACTTACACTCTTGAGAATTTCATTCTGGGAATTTACGAAACGCATTTAAATTAAATTGAAGCATTAGTGCACAGTATATTGGAATTCAAATTATTTCATTCAGCTTGCGGTGCTCTGAGGAGCTGTGTCATTTACTCTCTGCCTAGGCATTAAGTTTTATAATTTGGTATAGTCAATTCATAGTTATAAGGAAAAAGAGATCCGGGTTTTATATCTTTGCATACAGGTTTATAGGGAATCTAAAGTAAATAGCTCATGCCTCTTCTACGTTCATCTCTTTCTGGTATTTCATCTGTTAGTTTATAAGTATATATTTAATCTGGCAATTTAATTCATTTGGTTGATTTTGATAATAGTGCTTAAGGGCTCTTTGGAGCTTTGCTTTGCTTATAGGTTTGTTGCATAAGTCAATTTATCATTTTTCACTGCTGTATTGCTGGGTTACAATTTATAATTCTACCTCTAGCTTGCTGCATAGCTGCTTACATTATCAAAGGTTCTCTTCTGTTTATTATAGACTCAGTATTCCTCTGAATACATTGCTTTGAGGTGTGGGCTGGTATTTTGGACAGCTATCCAGTGCAGATAATACTGAGCTACGGTGATATTGTTTGCAGCTAAATACAATTTGTTAGAGATTAGTTAGGCATCTTTGGGTCCTTTAAACTTACCAGTGCAGACAATACTGAACTACAGTGATATTGCTCGCAGCTCACGCATATAATCCAAGCTAGTTGGCGTTGATTTTACAGAACCAGGCTAATTAAGGGTATCAAACTATGTCTGCTCAAGAGAACCAGCAAAATGCTGCTATAACTGGGGTGGCACGAGGGAACCAGGTGGGGTCCCAGGCCTTCGTAGTGCCTAGTAACCCATAGGCTTTGGCACAGTTGTTGAATGCTTTTAGACATTTTATAGGCAATATAGGCCTGCAGACCAGGTGGCAGCGGTACCTCTGGCGCTCACCCTAGAATGCATCCCGGATACGCCACCTAACGTTGTGGACCGCCCCGGCACCTCCGTGGCCACCGCGGCAGTGCTGAGAGCAGCCAATGATTCAACAGTGGGTCCGTGTCCGAGATGGGTCAGGGTAGCCTCCTGTGCCCTGCAACCCACAGGCCTAGTCAGTGTTTCCTCTGCTTTTGAAACCTTTACCAACAATTCAGGCCCATGGTCACTGCGGCCTCTTCCCAACTAGTGAGTACTGCCGTCCAGCAATGAGGAGCTCCCTTGCACTTTTGCCTCCTTATTTAGGGTTCCACATTCGGGTAGCAATCCATTTATGCATCCTCACACATAATTACAGTCTATGTGTCCCTGGGTTTCCAATGACAGATCCTCGGGAGGTAGGGCTCATGCTTACAATTTTAACCTTTCTGCCCCTCAGTATACCCCAGACTTTCCCAGTATGCTACAGCATTCACAACCTCAGCCTTTACCGCGGAAGGGGGGCTCCGAAACATCATCGGAGGAAGAGACGCAGGGGCAACAGGAAGTGGCAGCGGCTGCAGAACAGCACCAGTCTCCAATGATGGGCAAGGGAGAAAGAAGTCTAAGTAAGAAGAAGCATTCGGCCAAGAAGAGCAAAAGAAGTAAGCCTTCTAATGCCGAGGACGATTCAGAAAAGCTTCCTGCTGCCCACCACCTGCTGGGTTCCGAGCGACCAGAATTACTGGATGGAGCATATGGGTCCCTATGTGGAAAAGGAAAGTTAGAAAATTTGAAGCTAAGCGAGTCCCTCACCATGAGGTTTGCTGGGAGTACAACACGGGTGTGTGCCAGGGGCCAAATTGTAAGTATGCGCATGAATGTGAGAAGTGCCTTCATGTTTTAAAGGTAAACAGCCCTTTCCGGGCAGTGGGGGGAATTTCCACCAGGGGTCTTGAAAAGCTCACAGACCTGCCAAAAAGAACAGCCACTAATTGGTATGAATTTGGCCCTTGACTGTGATGTTCTCTTCTGTTAAGCTCTCACCTCTTAGAACCTTTCTTGATAAATACTCTAAAATAGAGGCAGCAAAGTACCCTGGGAAAGAGTTTCTCTTATGGCTTCAAAATCCTCGTTTCATTACCCCCTAACTCAGGGAACCCACCCCCCTCAAACCAAAGAATCAGTTTGGGAAATCCCAGCTATTGCAAAAAGAAATTAAAGAAATTTCTGGCCGGGAGGGTGGCCGGCCCCTTCAGGGAGCCACCTATAGCGGGTTTACTCATTTCACCTTTAGGCATTGTCCCCCCATAGACTCCAGGAGAGTATCCTATGATCCACAACCTACCCTACCCTAGAGGCGGCTCAGTCAATGATGCAATACCACAGAAGCCTTGTTCTGTGAAGTATGCCTCCTTGATCAGGCTATAAAGCGTATGCGCAGGTTCAGCAGGGGCGCTGTCAAGGCTGCCTCAAGTCTTAGCTCACAAAAGACCAACGCCTACGTCTTCTTGAATACAAAGGTGTTTATTGCAGTTCATGGTTTGCTTGACATCTTAGGCGCGCAGCCTTACGTCTCTTACGCTAGACCGCCGAAGTCCCGTCTGAGTCAGTCCCTCCTCTGCACCAATTTAAGAGACTTGCGCTGCTCCACCTCTTTCTCTCCTTCCTTTTCCGCAGGGTCTTTCTGCCCCCTGGGGTTTGGCCCTTCTGGATTCCTCTGACGCGGAATCAGACTGCTGCTCCCCCTCCTGCGGGCTTTGGGACCTGGCCCCTCCTCCGGGCTCCCTGCACTTCCGCGCGCCTCTACATTTGAACCAGGCGCGCGCGCCAAACCTCTAACTTTCCTTTTGACAGTTACACTGCTCCCTTCACTGCTCCCTCCCTTCCGGGAGGGCTGCTTGCTCTGACCCCCTCCTCTCTCTGCTGCTGGAGCTCCTTCCTCTGACACACTGGAAACTCCACCCCTTCGCTGCACTTTGGTGGGGAGGCTGGTCCTGACGCCCAGCTGCCACTTTGGGATCCTCCGCTGGAACCCTGCTCCTGACATTTCCCCTGGGGCTCCCTGGCCCTGACCACCGGCGCCCCTTCTGGGAATCCTCTGATTCGCTGGAAAGACTCATGGAATCCCTTGAGTCATTGTCGTCCTCTTCCTCGCTGGCTTGGAATTCCTCCCCTTCGCTCTCCATCTCCTGCCTACCCTGTGCCTCTCTCTCTGAACCCCTGACAGGCGCGCTCTTGGCTAAGTGCGACATTGAGTCGACTTTCCGTCTCCTGCCAATTCACCCTGAGGAATTTCTATGGCTAGGTTTTAGATTTGAGGGGGTTTATTCCATAGACAAATCTATGCCAATAGGGTGCTCAGTAGCTCGTGCAGCCTTTGAGTCATTTAGTGCAATTTTGGACTGGGCTCTTCGCTTTAGAACTGGTTCTGAAGGGGTGACCCATTACCTCGATAACTCTTCCCCCCCCCCATCATTAGTAATAACCCTGATTGCGCTTCTCCTTTAGAGGCTTTCACCTCCCTGGCTGAGGAGCTTGGGGTACCTTTTGGTGGCGGACAAAATAGAGGGTCCAGTTTTGACCATAACCTATTTTGGGTATTGAATTGGACACAATTGCACAAACATCCCGCCTACCAAGGGAGAGGCTAGCATTAATTCTGCAACTTCCCCTCAAGAAGATCACCCTTGGCCAGAGTCAATTCACGCTTCTGTCACCCCAACTTTGCATGCTGGGTCGTGCCCCCCTGTCTACCCTTGCGTGGGCGATTGGCTAAGCTGTCAGCGGGACTGCGTGCTCCGCAAAACTGAGTGCGCCTCTCTAAAGTGGTCAAGTCAGACCTGAAGGTTGGGTTGAAGTTCCTGGAAAAGTACAATGGCATTTGCGTGCTAACGAGTTCAGGAATCACCAGGTATGCTTCTGGACTGACAATCAAACGGTTGTCAGTGTCCTGTCAAAGCAATTATCGCACTCTCCTAGAGTGGCAGATCTGCCACTTTGTCCTTTTGTGCTTAGAATTAAACATCTATTTCTCTACCAAATTTACCCCTAGGGTTAACAATGACATCACAGATGCTCAGGCGCAGCAAAGTGCCACAGCCATTCCGGGAGCACCTTTGGAGCCTTGGGAATGTGATGTCCTGAAGGGAGTATTAGCTTCAGGGGCCCCGTCCACGCTTAGATCTTTTAAAAAGGCTTGGTTGGACTTTATGGAGTTCCAAGGCAAATTTATAATAAATAAAAAATAATAATAAATAATGAATGAATGAATGAATGAATGAATGAATGAATGCTAGGCTTGACACACCTCAAGGCAAAGTAGAAAATCCTAGGCTTGACACACCACCTACCAAGGTTGAAGCTCTGCAATACTTGGTACATTGGAGGGTGCTGGGTCGTGCAGCAAAGACTCTTAAACATCCAGTAGGCGGCAATCTCCCTTTTTCTGTAAGGTTGTTTAATCCATAGACCCTGGTGTGGACTTATTAGTGTGAAGGGCACTGTAGGGCTGCTGTTCAGGGAAGTTTTGTAATGTGTGATATTTTAGTGTATTTCTGGTTTCTATGGAAGCCGTCCAGAGTGGCTGGGGAAACACAGCCAGATGGGCGGGGTACAAATAATAAATTATTATTATTGTTGTTGTTGTTGTAGGGCTGGCGCAGGCTGCAGCCTCCTAAAAGTGATGGTAGAAGGCCCTTATGACATTCTATGCCAATTCCAAAATAAATAAATAAATAAATAAATAAAATTAAAATAATAATAATAAAATAAAATAAGAAGTATCTGTTGGTCCGAGGACAAGGCCCGATTATTTTCAGCTGCATACTCCATTGCCTTTGGCGCTATGCGCATTGGCGAAGTGGTTTGTAAGGGCCAACCAGAATCCACTGCCCGGGTTAGTTTGAGAGACCTGACCTTGTTCAGATCCAATTTAGTCCTGCATGACCAATGTTCCAAAACCGATCAGCAGTAAAGGACACTAAACATTTCATGTACGTGAGACCAACCGTCTCAGGTCTATTCCTTATACATTTGGATGGCTCCCGCCTTGCACGGCATCAGTCCACGCGCATTATGCGAAGGGAGATTGCTGCCTGCAGTTTATCCTCAGCTGAATTCGCGGCTAACTCCTTTAGGATTGGGGCCGCCACCACAGCACTGCATTTGGGACTCTCAGCTGAAAGGATGAAGGACTTGGGGGCAGCGGAAGTCTGATGCATTTAAGGGATATATTCGTAAGACCTTGTGATTGTTCACAGTATACTTGACCTGGCTTCGTTACCTTCTTTTGCTTTCAGGTGACGTTGTGGTGCACATTTGGATTATAGGCCCTGCACTGTCCACTGGGATAGAAACCATAC